CTGGCCTGAATCTGGGGTGTGACCGCGGCCATATTCATGGCCGTTGCCCCTTCCTTTCCCCTTCTTCTCTCCTCTTTTTTTTAATTTTTTAACCCCTTTTTTTTTCTGTGAGGGGCAGCCCATAGTTCAAAAACGAACGAGCGTCCCTCCTTCCTCCAAGTCATTTCACAGAGCCGAACTAGAGTCAGGCTCCACAGGGCTTTCTTCCCCCTGCCCCGCGCCTGTATCTGGCATAGTGTAAGAATGCTGCCTGTTTTCAAAAATGAACGGGCACACTCTAGTAGAAACGGGGGGTTCAAGAAAAGAAAAAAAAACGAAACAAAACAAAATCTAAGGAAAAAAAAAGAAAAAAAAAAAACTGGAACTAAAAACGAAAAAACGGCTGCTCATCGGGCGCCTGCAGCTCACCTGAGGGACTTTAAGTCCGTGTAACTTCCATACCCGCCACCTGCAGCCGTTCGTCAAAAACGAATGAGCACCTATGCGGTTCGTAACCACAAAGAGAGAGAGGGGGAGGGAAATCAGTGTGGCAGTGTATATTTCCACGTTCTGGCTAAAGATTCATCCTGATTTTGCTCATCCTATCGATGGAAGTAGCATGAGGCCAGCCGTCAGCCCGTTCCTTGAAACGAACGGCCGCAAAGCAACCCGAAATCTTGTAAAAACGAGGAGGAAATCGAAAACGAAAAAGAATCTTAAAAAGAACTCTAAGAGAAAGAATCTAAAAAAAAAATCTAGAAAACTAGGCTGCCATCCAGGCCGCCTGGGTCACCCTATTTTCCCGGGCGGCTCGGCCATGCAAGGACTAGGGAAGGTCCCAGCCAAAAAAAAAAAAAAAAAAAACAAATCCAAAAAATCTGAAAAAAAACTATGTAATCATTGTTATGCAGAAAAATAAACTGAACAACTTTTGCCTCAGGGTCACATCGAAATTCTTTACCAAATTTAAAATAAAATTTTAAAATTTAAATTAAAAAATATTTTTTATTTTTTCATTTTTTTATTTCTTTTTGGCCCGGCCGGGCAAGTGGACCTGGGCCACTCTGGTAGCCTAGCTAGAAAACTTAAAAAATGAAAAGACAACTTACCTCTAAAAAACAACTGCCCGTTCACCACGAGCGCCTGCTGCTTCCCTTTGGGATACTAAGTCCCCTTACTTCCAGCAGCGCCATCTGGCGCACCGTTGTAGTTTTTTTTTTTCTTTCCGTATTGGCTCATGCCAATGATTATCAGCATGTCGCGTGGCTTTTCACCCACGCACTGTTGAAATATAGACCCGAGTTAAAATCCTTCTGGATTCGGAAATTTTCAAAGTGTTTTCTTTTTTTTTTTCGTTTTTTCGCTTTATGCATGTCATTTTTGTGCAAGGGTCATTTCAGCCCCGCGACCTCGTGGATTGCAGGGCTGAGATCGGCCATGCCAAAGTGCCCCTTTCACAATGGCCAGCTCCAAAAGGAGCTAGCCCATTGGCATTTGTCAGCTTCGATCCCCGTACCTGCGGTATGTCAAGCTGGTACTCATACCTACTGGGCTAGTTCCTACTACAGGAATAGTAGGAGCAGCTCCTCTATATGAGGAGCTTGCCCTGGCCATCCCTCCTGCATGTGGCCTTGCAGGCCCGGCGTGTCCCCTTTCCCATAGCTCACGAATTTTATCGCCACTCACACACAGACAACCTCACACATGCCCATACATGCAGAAGAGAAGGGGAGAGAGGAGACAGAGTCAGAACTGCGCACAGGTGAAAATAAGCAGCGGAAGACAATCATGCACAGATGGGGAGAAGACATGTAGTGTTTCTCACTCTCTGACACAACTCCCAACAACCAATCACAAGAAAGAACCAGCGAAGATCACAATTGAAAATGACACTGATGGTGAGCCACTCACACAATTATCGTAACAGAGTTGGTTCCAGTATCTCGCCACCCTCAGAACTCACACCCCACTCTCTATCCTACACCCAGTTAGTAGCGCTGCATCAGAACAGTCTTCATCGCAGGACCTGTTCTTCATCAGGGTGGTTGGCGCTGGCCTCTGGGAGGCTGTTCTGATGCAGCGCTACTAACTGGGTGTAGGATAGAGAGTGGGGTGTGAGTTCTGAGGGTGGTGAGTTACTGGAACCAACTCTGTTACGATAATTGTGTGAGTGGCTCACCATCAGTGTCATTTTCAGTTGTGATCTTCACTGGTTCTTTCTTGTGATTGGTTGTTGGGAGTTGTGTCAGAGAGTGAGAAACACTGCGTGTCTTCTCCCCATCTGTGCATGATTGTCTTCCGCTGCTTATTTTCACCTGTGTGCAGCTTGGACTCTGTCTCCTCTCTCCCCTTCTCTTCTGCATGTATGGGCATGTGTGAGATTGTCTGTGTGTGAGTGGCGATAAAATTCGTCAGATAGGGTTAGATTCGCAGTCAATCTCGGCAGTGGAAATCAGCAAGTCATTGCAGCTAGCTGCCCGTCTGCGACTCGAACGAGCGCCCAATTGGGTGGGCCACAGCACTCACTGGCTTCAAAGCCCTTGGCGCAGGGTCAAATCCCGACGGCTTATTAATAAATAAAATTACTAGACTAGGTGCCTTGTTTCCCTCCACGTGCTGCATCGTACGTGGCGCGGCTACTTCTTTTAAGAGCCGCGTGTCGCGTCATTATTTTAGGTTAAATAGGTCTAGCTTTAGCATTCCCACGTCGCATGCCTCTGTGGCCCTGCTAGAAACCGCCGACTACCGCCATTACTCTCGGACGCCACAAGCGTCCGGACTAAAGTCCATAAAAATTTTAGTCTCTCAGTCATAGGTTAGTATGAATAAATATTTGGCAACCGCCAGTCTCATCAACTCTTTCAATTCGACGAAATAGTCGGACAACGTCCGACATTAAAAAACATGAGCAGATACCCTTGTAAGGGTTTCTGCTCCGACAACGCGACCTGCATGTGCATACAGCTCACAAGCATACGTCCTTGGGGACATGTCACTGGTTCGAAACCCACAGGGTAGGTCTAGGGATCGAGCCCTGGGATCTGCAATTGTCCTGCGAACTGGGTGAAACCCTTTTGTATCGCACTGCTTTTGGCAGAGGGTCACCTCCGAACACCTCATGAATGAAAACTATTAAAAAGTTATTAAAAACAAAGTTAAAGCACCGGACAGAAATGCGCATAGTGGTCTGAGGTTGTGGGTTCAAAATCCTGTGGCCTCGTGCATGGACACTGGCGAGCGTTGATCAATGCCCGGCTGTACACACTAATCCCTTGGGGGAAGGTGCACAGTAAGGATTACAGACACTGCCTGCACCACGAAGGGATTTAAGTCCAGATTGTGGTATGTCGGGTCTTGACTATGTGTGGGCACTTAGGGATGTTGGCTGTTGGTTGTTCTGATGATCTTCCCGCTCTGGCACATCGCATATTGGTATCATTTGGGATTGTAGCACACACAGTAGAGTATAGCTGTTACATGATGATGAACATGGATTCGAGTCTGGCTGGGGACTTTCGTGGGGGGTTTGGGGGCTTTCTATCACAGACAGCCCTATCATACACAAATTCTACAACTACAACACATTCGTGCACAGGTACAGCTCACAGACACATATATATACAACATACAGATAGCTTGCCACATATACATACACTATGTCAGGGTTTCATGGACTTTGGTCTGGTCTACAGGGAGCCTTCAGACATAGTCCATGATATAGCCTTCGTTCTGGCATGGCTGGAATAGTACCGGGACATACCCCTCCTGGGAAGCTCTCTGGTTCCAGCATGGTCAGAACAAGGCACCTTCATAGACACACACACAGCTTACAGATACACAGCCTACGGGCACACACTTTCATATCTACACACACACAGCCTACAGGCACGCACATACATAGCTATACATTAGGGGCCAGTGTAGGGGGACCAGTCTCTGCCAGGGTCTCATGGACTTAAATCTAGGCTACAGGGAGTCTTCAGATAAGGTCTGTGATATACTTGCTAATGGATTAGGGTGTACGTGGGGACTGGTAGAAAACTGCTAATACCTGGCGTTCGAAGTACCCGTGTGACATGGTTTGCTTGATCATGCTTCAAATGGGGCTGGGAGGGGTAGCTGCTTAGCCCTGGTTCCTATGACTGCTGTTCGGTCTGAGTCACACCCCTGGGGGGAGGGGTGACAGTCCTAAATGATTGAGACTGACGTAAGATAGTGGGAATAGGGGTACGCTAGGAGAAATGACGAGAGGATAGGGTAGGGTGGCAGCTCCGCATGACAATTGTAAGGACAACCGAAGAACCAGTAGCTGATTGAGTCGGAATAGTACCAGGCGGGTGACCCCCTGTGAACCTTACCGGTTTCAGCATGGCTGGAATGTGAAAAAGTGGGAGCTTTGAAGTCGTCGGGCTGGTGACAGGCGTCAATGAAATACTGCTACCGGGATAATCCTCGCCCGGTAGGCGTCTGCCCCATCATGGCCAAAATAGTACTGGGAAGGGTGGCCCCCTGAGAAGCTTTCCAGTTCCAGCGCTTCTATGACACCAACCACCATAGGCCGGAATCTGACCTCCACAACAACCTGGGCTTTTACGGGAAAAAGAGTAAATAGAAATAAAAACAAAGAACAGATCCGAATATTTTGCTGGACAACTGATGCCAAGATATTGGGGTCCTGACATTTGGCCAGCCTCACAGGTTCACACACCCTTGCCGCCCAACATCTTTTATTTTCTTTGACAGTAAATGATTTCTCTAGGTATGTGCTCGGATGTATGGCAGTAGTGGCTAAGGAGTGGTATTACATACGCTTTGCTAAGTGTGTGCTTCGGCTTTCAAGCTTACTGGTTGATGTTCAGTTTGCCGTGCTAATTGTGCGTTGGCGATGCTAAGTACAGTGACATGTGTTATAAGCGTATGTGGTACACTGACGTGTGTTATAAGCTTGCATCGCAATGTTACGTACGCTGTTTTAAGTGTATGCTATGTTCTGATGTCTGAATTGGTTCATTCCATTGCAGCGAAACTGGAGAAAAGGAGAGAATCTGGCAGAGCAATAAGGAACTGCACTATGAGTCTGTCGTGGCACTGATGTCGGACAATGAAGAAACTTTGCACCTTGATAGACTAAAAATCCTGGTAAGGGGAAACAAAACCTGCTGAGGAAAGACTTCAATCATGTCTGTTTTGCTGCTTGAAATTCAGAGGTAGCTGACATTGACCGCCGCTGTGTGTTCTCAAGTTCATAAAAAATCATTCATAATTTGTGATCATTTCAATTTGCTATCATAGTTTTACAATTTTTACTATCGAGAGTGAGCTAATTTGTACTACCTCAGAGGGAAGATATATGTTTGGACCCCAGTTCTGCAGCTCAACGGCATTCCACCCTCAGGGCCCAAGTGGTTGTGGTGCCACCATTGGCAGCAGTGGCAGTGCCAGCACAGACAGCACCAGTATCGAATTGTCGATCGGCCCAAGGGGCCTATGGGCCTATGGGCCTATGTAAAAGGGCCTTTACCCGATGCAGCCCCTGATCGACGAAAGCAGCATATTGGGGTCCCTCGCCCAGAGCCCAATTCGTGAAAGCAGATCAAAAGACATGTTCTCTGGGTCAAAGGTCACATTCTAACTAAAGCAAAAGACATTGTCAAAGGTCACAGTTGTGCCCCTGGACGAACAGTTGCCATATTTAAATGTTTGGGTCACATCAGGGGGTGTGCAAGTCATGTCTATTCATGAAGGGATGTGTCTGTACGTGCAGTAAATGTGTCTGTTCGTGCAGCAAAAGTGTCTGTTCGTACAAAAGATGTGTCTGTCTAAAAAGAAGTCAAAGAGTTATCTCAGTCCAGATTCGAGTCAAAGGGAAAGTCTAGATACAGATAGGCAGTCCGAAATTGAGGCCTACAGGCCGCAGCAGCAGCAACCCTTGAAGGAAGAGAGTCTGGGACACATTCCACAGAGGCTGGGACTGGGAAAGGACCCAAGACAGACAAAATAAAGGCCTCGTTTGGGGAGGCCAGCACGATAAGAAACAAGACTGCCTCCCCACTAGATTCCCATATGCATTGATGTGTGGAAGTGCTGAGGCCCTTGTGCGCTATAGTGCTGGGAGAGGCGCTGGCTGAAGAAGAGCTGCGCCAAGAAGAAGGGAGGCTGGGCGCTGGCTACAGGGAAGCCATAGCTGCGCCAGCCTATGTTAGTAAGTAGCATATCAGTGAGTGACATTCAAAGTAGATCTCCGTAGGTGAGAGTGTGCATGCATAGTGAGGTGAGAGAGCCAAGACATAGTTCTAGAGAGAGGGAAGAGATCAAGAGAGAGAGAAGATAGGAAGTGACTCTGGATATGGTGGACACTTACCTGTTGGCGCCACATCTGTAATCTGAAGGAGGATGCTGGCTGAGCCAGATCCCATGTTGTTGTATGACGAGGGAGACTACCTCTTGTTGGCACTGAACTCTGGAACTCATGATACTCTTTGTATTAAGTGACATTGATAATATAAGCTGCGCTACTTGGTTCTTATCTCATCTCAACCTGGTTTTGTGTGAAGCCATTTTGTACGTGTGATGACATGTATGCATGCGGAAGGATGCTCTCAAGCAAGCTGTGAACATTCAGGTTCCTTGCAACTCTGGTATCGGAGCAGATACTTGTTGTACTCACTGCGCTGGCATAAGCAAGGCCGGCGAGAAGGAGAAGAGACCACTGGCTTGTTGATGATGCTTGCATTGGTGGAAGAAGAGGTGGATAGGGATATGGGAGAGTAGTAGGCCGAAGAGGAAGGGGCAGAAATGATACTTACCTGGAGCGTGAAGTGCGGAGCGACGAGGAGTCTTCATCGACGATCGCTGCAAAAGAGAGAAGCACCCCTTACCCCTTACCTGGCTGCATGTGCGTGTGTATCTCTACTCCTCATCCTCTCTGGGGTCACCGCTGCTGCTGTCAAATCGAGTCACAGGGTCTGTAGTCTGGGTGGTTGAGGTCAAAGGGTCTTGTCACGTCAGGGTCAAGAGTGATCAGGGTCCCTTCTATCTCCTACCCTCTAGTCTGAAGTCTGCGCTGTAGCCAAGGGAAGAGTACGCTGGGAGATGGTGGCAGTCTGCCATATCAGTGTACAAGTATGATATAAGGCATAACTAATCTGGGCAAAGAGGTTAGGATCGAAGTTGTCCAGGCATCTAAACGAGTACCACTCCAGCTCTACCTGCGCAGAAGGACAAACAGACACGGTTAGAGAAGAAGACAAAAGAAAGAACAAAGAACAACATTCACCACCAGATATGACCAAGTGTGATATCTGTTTTAATTAGCCCAATATCTGAAGTTGACAACAAACAGCAAGGAAAGAAAAAAAAAAAGAGTCTTATTATATATCCGAATTCTGAAATTCGTTATTGAAGCAGTGACATCCAGAGCCGGAAAAAAAAAAAACAGACAAAGCAAGTTGTTTTATCCCATCCACTAAGAGTAGTTGAGGATCAGTTGTGTTACATGCTGCACATGCACACACGGGCCATTTTGCAGGCCCGACGTCGTTCAGGCCAAAAACCTGAATTTCGGGCCTTAAGCCTGATATCCAAGGCTTACAGGCCCCGCCGACGGTTCAGCCTGACAGCCCGAGAAAGGACCTACAGGCTCCAGCCTGTTTCCCTACAGGGAAACTTCCAGGCTCTTGCCTAGAAGCTTCCTTCTGACAGCCCGAGAAAGGACCTACAGGCTCCAGCCTGTTTCCCTACAGGGAAACTTCCAGGCTCTTGCCCGGAAGCTTCCTTCTGACAGGGCCTACAGGCCCCAGCCTATTTGCCTACAAGGAAACTTCCAGGCTCTTGCCTGGAAGCTTCCTTCTGACAGGGCCTACAGGCCCCAGCCTGTTTCCCTACAGGGAAACTTCAAGGCTCTTGCCTGGAAGCTTCCTTCTGACAGGGCCTACAGGCCCCAGCCTGTCTCCCTACAGGGAAACTTCCAGGCTCTTGCCTGGAAGCTTCCGCAGGGTCTAGGCCAGGGAGGCATTGGCAAGAGCGGCCTCCTGCGCATAGGGCATTGGCACGACCAGCCTCCTGCACGGGCCAGCACTATAAAGGACTGGCCCGCCCTACAGGAGGGAGGCAGTCGGCAGTTGTAGTCTTCAGGATTCGGGAGCAGCCCTCTGGAGG